GGGGGGGGGGGGCGCGACCATAATCCCCGGACGCTATGACCGTAAAAGAAGGGCGGAAAAAAGATGCATGAAAAGTGGTAAAAATGTTCTGAAAAAAATGCGAGCCGAAGTTTTTATTGCAAATTTTGTTTTTTAGTGCTCCTTTCCGACATGGACCAGATTACAGTCATCTCGGAAAATCATACGGACCCATTCGCTCGCGTGAAACTTTGCATAATTGGCGGTGAAACGCGTGAAGTATTGCAGAGAATTGCATGTTTTTTCTTTTTACCTATTGGTTTTCGCCGTATTACGTGATGATACGCTCGGTCGATCGTTGAATCGCCTGAATTTTCCAGTAAAACCTGCGGTAGGACGAAAATTTAAACGTGAAATTTTCGTCCATTTTGCATGAGAGTGCAAACGGGAAAAGTGCATGATTAGTGAATTTGGGACACGTTTTGACCGATACTGGTGGGCTCTGAAGTTTCAATTAGGGCACTTACGTAGCTCTGAAATAGCTCCTGATTTCGCAATAGTTTTTAGTTTGATTTTCAACTGTGGCGTTTCCAGCTTCATTGTCGACCCTGTGTTTCGCGTCTACAAGTCTTCTTAGCCCCTGGCTTGGTTACGCGGGTGAAAACTTTGCCGTTTCTACTCGACACTTGACACAGTCTCCCTCTGCTATACGGGTCTGCCAATTCTGGGCGACGTTGGACAGCCGTAAACAACAGAACAGGATGGAGCTATAGTCGGTACGGATTAACGAAAACGTGTGGTGGATTTTCAGTTGGCAACTCTGACTATTCCCATTTGAAAGTTCTGCAGTATCATTCGAGCCTCTTCCACCGTATATAATTCAGGCTAGTTTCCATCGGTATCCAAACATGTTATGTTTATATAATTCTTCACCTTTACCAGCATGGACACTCTGTATGGCAATACAGTGTAGAGGCTATAGGGTTGTAGGATTTTTTGTTGGTTAAAATTTACTAGAATTCTTATTTTCCTAGTGAATTCTCCAATTGGGAACGACGTCCCTCGGTGCATCATGCTATTTATTCCTGTCGAGTGACTCAGGCGAATCGACGCTATCTTTGGATCCATTTTTTATCTAGGGAATCGTCTGGCTACATTGGCTCTGACGTGTCGTCGGGGATTCCCCTCGGTTTCCCTAGGGAACGATCAGGCCAATTCCGGACCAAGTTACACGTGCGCCTGTCTCTTCTGTCTGTCGCCTCGCGAAAAGAAATCGAACTGACTTTAGTCCTGAAAATTCCTAAATTACATACACATTACTTATTCATATTTGATTTTCGAGGTATCCACGATACTTGTCTTTTCCATTCCTGGTGAAAGTTTTTCACACCTTGGTTCTTGGTAGAGAAGGTATTCCAAGGGTCGAAAAGTGTCAGAGGGTCGCCTAGGAGAGAAATAGAATAGTAAGCAGGGGTGGTTTTTATATTCGGTATGCGCAACACTTGGACAACCCCTGGGATCATGCTTTATTTGCACTTTGATGGATATTTTTATACTTTTGGTTACGTCATTGTATTTGAATCTGATATTGGTGGGAATTTACATGGGGAATTTATTAATTTTTTATTTTTAAGATTTCGGTAAACATTGTTCCTTTTTTTTTGTGCCAGTTATGTATACTAGAGATATTGCTGTTGGAGAGATTTGTAAATTCCAAAAAATCGAAGAATCCCATTCCCTGTAAAAATATACCCACATCGTCGTCTGTCCGTCCCCCAACAAATTATAACTTCCCACTCGACCGACCAAGCTATTAGTTGCTCATAGTTTGGCATAGGGTGGATAATTGAATACCAGGGGATTCCCCTTTTCTGGGGGTAGGATCCTCCTCCTCTCCTGCAAAGGGATGCCGAAGGGATAAAATGTCCCTACAAGTTACCTTGGGAATCACTCACAGCAGAATCCACACTTGGTGGCAGCGAGTGTCGGTAAGCGCAGCCACTCCCTCCTCACCAGCGGGTTGGCACCGTTATTTCCGGTAGTGCTTGCTATATCTACGTAAAACCGGAAGCTCCGTCGGATCTCGACTATAATTTCCGTCAACTTTTAATTCCCAGTTCCAATTTGCACGGACGACTCGTTTCACCCATAATCGCGATAAGCATAGAACGAAAGAACATTCCTACAGCCCCCGTTAAACTTCTGGCGAACTAGAGATACTTTTTGAAAAATTCCATAGAGCCGTCTTTGTAATTTGAGAGAATGTAAAAAAATCTTAATGGACAATCAAGATACAGGCAATTTAGTCAGGTATCTGTCATAATACGCAGATGTCAATCAGTCAACGAATAAAAATGTATGTTCGATTTTTGCGAAGCTTTTACGTACGATTGTGAAGTTTGCCATCAGCCGCGTATACATACCCGAGTAAACAACGGTTGTATGAGACATGGAAATTGCGCATATGGATATGCAAATCGACGCATGAAAACCGGCAACGGTACTTTGCTCGAAAGCTGGGCGACATTGTCGACGTGAAATTTACGGTCCGCCGAGTCATAATACGAGACGACACAAGGTTTGCGCTATACCGTGACTCGCCTTCGCTCCGCGTAGACGCCGCCATGTTGGTTATAGGCGAGACGCCTCGAGTTTTCCACAATATTCAGCCGCCTCTCAAGGACTGTCAAGCCAGCTATGGAAGGGTCGGGATTGAATTCCTCTCAGTTGAATTACGACTCTAATTTCCCAAGCAATTGGCAATGCTGAGAAAGCACCTCGATAAAGTCCAAAAGCGTTCCAATAACATTTTTCCTTCGGACTGTACCGACTGCAGCGCCACTTTTTTTTTAAGCCGAACCCAACGAGCTGAAGATTGCACAATTTTTTTTCTTTTAATATTCGTTTCAAATTCTTTCTGTGCCACGTGATTTTACCAGATAAGGTACTTTGTGGGCCTAGTATTATTATCATGCTTTTACCCAGAGACGATAAATTACAGGGGTCACTACTACTACTACTACTATTGTACTTCAGTCCACCCTCTGTCAGCCGCGCGAACAGTTTGCTTAAACCGGACGACCAAACATTAACGAGGCATTGTCTTTGTCCTTGTAGAACTATTACAGCCCTTTCCCATAACCTACCACTGGCCAACCGACGCTTCGACGCTACCTGATTATTAGCATTCACAAGTTTTCTAGGTTATGGTGTATCCGTTCTTCGTTTCAATTAATTGATATCACTGACAATGAGAGTCCGCGTTAAAAGGTAAAATTGTATCTTCTAATATCACTTGCCCGTCGTGGGATTTAACCTTTTTGTTAAGAAATTATAGTAATTTCAAATCTACTTAAAAACTTCTTCCGACGGTCTCTGGCGTGCCTCGAGTCTTTATGGAATTTCTTAACCGTCACTTTTCTCACTTTTAAATAATCTCAAGTCATTGCTTTATGGAACTTAACTATAACTATGTACAATTTTCTTACCAGGGACCAAAGCGCGCTGCGTAGTGAATAAACTGAATTCAAAACTTTCCCAACTGCCATTGGATTAGCATATATAATCCGATCCGACGACGATGCTTCGTCACGAACCGTCTTAACGAACCGTTGGAACGCTTCTACGCACACTTGGAATATGCAAATTCGTATCTTGAGTCTGTACCAAGCTTATTTATTGTCTGGCAGAATTCTCTATAAATTCCTTGGAAAAGATACGCCTGTGGCATTTGGACGTGTTGGCTAATTTACAATAAAGCACAGCATAAAGACAACTTACACGTCTCTGGAATGACGCGCGCGATCTGTCAAGAACTTTTGTAACGTCCTCTAGAGAGTTGCGCAATACTCTTTCATCACGGTAGACCACATTCAGTGCACATAAAAGTTTAAAAACACGTGATGGAGGTGAAATGAAAGCACTCGAAAGTTTAAACGTTTCGCGTCTTACCGTCGGATAGAAGACGTACTCGAGTATTTCGCTTCTGGGTAAGTTTTCAACGTGCTTTTTCACAGTCCAGAACGCATCAAAGCAGTTCTCAGTTTTTGCTACATTGTAGCTCTGGGTTACATAAGAAATAAGGGTGCGTCAAAAAATGGTCCCCTTCGTATACCAGCTCCACGTTTATATTTTTTACTTTCCACTTTATTATACATACATATATATATATACATAAGCACTGAACCCCTCGTGGCCGTTGATAAGATTTTAAATCGGACCACGGTAGTCACCCTCGCAAACGATACATAACCTAAAATTGCTGAGGCTAAGCTGCGCTGTATTAATACGTGAATGAGCGATGTAAATAAAAAAGAGGCATAGCAACTTCAAAAAATACCCCTAAAGATCTCGAAATTTTTTGTTTCAGATACCTCGGTGCCTGATAGTCTAAACATGGCGAGACTGGAGATACAGAATCGTCGGCATTCGACTTTGACAAGATAAAAATAAAACCTCGCCATGCTTTAGCCAAAGGTGGTAGGACTGCTATGCTAAATACAAGACAGGGAGACATAACCTAAAGTGTCCTAATGAACGTAAAGGGTACCGATGAGCTTACCAGTAATGTTTCAGGGCCTTACTGGCGCCGGAAAGTATGTCGCGGCGGTCCCGTGTAAATATTCGGAACTAAAAGCCATTGAGCAGTTTACACGTAAATTCGCGAGCGACAGCCGCCATGACGTCTAAAGAGAGTACATAACGTAGGGGCGACGCAGTGAGGAAGCGGCGGGAATTTTAAAAGTCGAATTACGAAAGTGAACGTATTAAACACAGTTTTAAACGGTGTTTCCTTAAAGAAATAAATAAATAAATAAACGTCAGCTACCAGATCACTAAATTTATTCAGTGATCGTATTCGCGTGCATCATGTTTGGAACGAAGCTGCGTACTTGGATGGAGGCGCATATCGTGCGACCGAAGAAGAAGAAGGATAGAAAAAAGGGTGACAAAGGGTTCGACTCGAATTGCAATTCGCCAAGCAGTCGCAGCGCCAATCGATCACCGGCTTTGCATCAAGTGAGTGAAAAAAAAAAGTTATAAATAAAAATAATCGATAACGATTCTCTTTGATCTCTTGGTCAACCAATCCTTCTCTTGTTACATATATATCTGACTCTCGCTCTTCTGTACATCCTTCTCTCACGATTCTCCCTTATAAAATCGCTCACGATTATTTTCACGCAAGAGCCCCGCACGCTATTCGGATCCTCTTAATATTCCACGGCCGTGCACTTGGCCCTAATGAAACCATCAGAGAAAAGGAGGAGAGAGCCAGGCGATATTTATGGGATGGAATATTAACCCCTTCGTCATCTCCACGGTATACACGTATACTAAATGCTCCTGCCGAGCGAAGATAGTAATTCAGCCAGTTAAAATTCTCATGCCCATAAACGACAATATATATATATATATATATATATATATATATATACAAATTTAATTAAACATTTTTTTTTCCTAAATTCATCAACACCAAGTACAATAATTGAAAATCGACCTCTGTTATCCATATGGTAACTTTTTGGTGCAACCAGAAGATATGCATCCTCGATGGACACATGCTGCGTTCAGTAGAGGGTGCAAATCTGCCTACCAGAAAATTTGTTCACTACAGAGGGTAGGTTCATACCTATCACTAGTTCTAGGTTGAACGGCTATTTTACTCTCTCGCTAGCGTTTACTCATTGTATACGTGCTCCTCCGCTAATAGACCTCCGCTCTCTGACCCTTTTGTACTGGCTGGCTAAGAAGACCAGGCGAGAGAGAGAGAGAGAGAGAGAGAGAGAGAGAGAGAGAGAGAGAGAGGCAAAAAAAGAGTAAATGACACAGAGAGACAGAGACTGAACTAAGAGAAGCGTGAAATGACTTAGTACTTAGGTCCTTCATTGCCATAAGACCCGCACAAGATTTTCTCCCTCGTTTCATATTTCTTCTCTTTTTTCCCTTCTCTTTATATTTCCTCCCATACGCATCGTCAAACTCACCCCTTTGGTGCCTCTGCTTAATCCTACTC